CCGCAAAACTGGTCAAATGCAGCATCCTCGTACCTTGCTTCCCTGCGCCATACTCCTAGACCAAGTGAACCCTCCTTTTCCCTTCCCTGTCTACTTCCAAATGGTTCCCATTCTTATATGAGGGTTTCTGGTAAACTTGAAGGACGTTACTGTAGTTTTCTTCTCGACTCCGGTGCAGCCAAGTCAATTGTAAACCTCCAAGCCTTCCCTACCCTTTGTAACAGGGTTAAGATCCTCTCCACTTCTACAAAATTGTGTCCAGCAGAGGGAAGGGAGATGCTAGTCGAAGGAGAGACATCATTAAAAGTCTGCATAGGGAAGGAAATCTAGACAGTAAAATTCATCGTGTGTCCAGAACTGGCCTGGGACGTGATATTTGGTGCCGATTTCCTACGCTACACCAAAGCTGTCCTAAATTTTGCAGAAGGAACCTTTTACACTCACGAAGCCACCGGGGTTAACACAGATACCTCTCTACCAAAAGACAACACAGATGACATCTGCAACGCCCTTTTTGAAGCTGCAGCCATTCCCATGAACAATCTGGATGACCTTTGTGCGCAGCTGGCTCACATTTCCAACTACGAGAGAAAAGAACTCCGTCAGCTCCTACTTAAGTATGCGAACATCTTCTCATGGCAAGGTGTAAAACTGGGACGAACAAATATCGTCAAGCATAAGATTGGTGCTGGTGAAGCTAGGCCCATCTGGCAACCGCCCAGACGTATTCCACCTCCTTTGCTGGAAGAAGTAAACCGTTTTGTTGAAGAGATGCTCCGAGATGAGGTCATAAAGCCATCCAAGTCACCATGGGCCTCTCCTATAGCGCTGGTAAAGAAGAACGATGGCAGTCTGCGCTTATGCATCGACTATAGGAAGTCGAATGCTGTAACCAAGATGGATGCCTTCCCCCTTCCCCACATAAATGACTCATTTGACTCACTACATGGATCCCAGTGGTTCTCTGCCTTAGATCTGAAGTCGAGATATTAGCAAGTGGAGGTTGCAGAAGCAGACCGGGAAAAAACGGCTTTTATTTTACCAAACGGGCTCTATGAATTTCAAACCATGCCCTTTGGACTCTGCAATGCGGCGGCTACCTTCCAACTCCTCATGCAAACAGCTCTGATCGGCCTATTCTTAAAGCATTGCATTATCTATCTTGACGATAGAGATAGTCAAGAGCACAACGCCAACCTGAAACTAGTGTTAGACCGCCTACGGGATGCAGGGCTAACCCTGAACCCGAAGAAGTGCCGTTTCCTGCAACGCTCAGTCACCTTCCTGGGATATACAGTCTCGTCGAATGGAATAGCCGTCACCGACGACCGTGTACAACAAGTGAGGACATGGCCTACACCAACCAACCAGACAGAGCTCCGCAGTTTCCTAGGTCTAGCAAATTATTACCGACGTTTCGTAAAGGGCTTTGCTACGATGGCCAGCCCGCTACATAAATAAACTTAGAAGCAGGCGAAGAGGAATTTCAAATGGGGGAAAGAGCACAGTGAGGTGTTTAAAGAACTGAAGCGAATGCTCTGCTCCGCTCCGATCCTAGCATTGCCAAACTTCGAATCGAGCGCTCCTTCGTTTATACTGGATACAAATGCGAGCGACGTGGCTGTAGGCGGTGTACTCTCACAAAAGGACATAAAAGGCAGAGAACACGTCATCGCCTACGCAAGTACAAGGCTCAGCAAAAAATGCGACAGAAAAGGGCGGCGCAACGTGAGCTGTTCGCTGTCTAATCAATAGTTCGACACTACCTGATAGCGAGGAAGTTCATTGTAAGAACCGACCATCAGGCACTCATCTGGTTAAAAACAATGAAGGAGATCGATCGTTCAGTTGTGCTCTGGTAGAAAGAACTGCAACAGTATGACTTTATAGTCCAATACCAAAAAGGAAAAGGGCATAGTAATGCGGATGCACTATCCCACAGACCGGCTCCAGCAAAAAACAGGTGACGTTATGGTGCACACCGTATTTTTAAGCGATCCTACTAGACATCATTGGAGAAAAATGCAGGGTACTGATCCTGACACAGCTCTGATATATGAGAAATTCCTGGCATCCTCGCATAAGCCTGCATCGGAAGAGATAACGTCGGCCAGCAAGGCGGCTAGACGGATTTGGCGAGAGTGGTCGAAACTCTCTTTGGAGGATAAGATTTTATGGTACCAAGAAGGTGTTCACTCTCCTAAGTGTCTAGTGGTTCCTGGATCACTAGTACAAACAGTTCTGCAAGAGTTACACGAGCAACTCGGTCACGTGGGTGAAAAGAAGATGTTAGATGCCTCGAGTAAAAGATACTGGTGGCCTTCGCCCACCCTAGATGTGCGGGATTTCTGCCGAACCTGTACCACTTGCAGTGGTTTTAAAAACTCCCAGCCCACAGCCATTGCACCTTTACAACCCATGCCTACCGGGTTCCCAGGGGAAAGAGTAGGTATAGACATTATGAGTCCTCTTCCACCCACCAAGAGAGGAAACCGATATATCTTGGTTATGGTTGATTACTTCACGAAAGCGGCCGAGGCTGAACCTATGAAGTCACAAGATGCTGAAACAGTTGCTTCAGTTTTCTTCAATCGGTGGGTTTGCCAGCATGGAGTGCCCGAATCCGTTCATAGCGATCAAGGCCCTAACTTCGAGAGCCGACTCTGCATTGAGCTATGTAAGATATGCCAGATCTCAAAGACACGCACAACACCTGCACATCCACAAGGCAACGGCCAGGTGGAAAGAACGAATCGCACCCTGATCGGACTACTAAAGGCTTTCACTAGGGACGCACAACCAGATGACTGGGATTTGAGTCTAGGTCGCGTTCTTCTCGCATACAGAGCCATGGTTCACACGTCAACGGGTGTTTCTCCGTTCAAGATGCCCACAGGTCGTGAAATGAGAGTGCCTTCCAACATCTTTGTGCCAAACACTGACGGATCAGCCGACCATGTTCCGGAGTATATACTACGCCTGAAAGAAAGTATAAGAAGAACTTTCAACAGCGCACGCAAACATTTACGGCTGTCCTATACCAGGCAGAAGAAATATTATGACCGACATTGCTGGACGAACGTCTACCGAGAAGGCGACTTAGTGCAAATTTACAGACCGGTTCCCCCACCTGGAACACACCGCAAGTTCCATCACCCCTGGAGCAGGGACCCATTTCGGGTGGTGAAGGCGCTCTCACCTACAAACTACCTCGTCCGCAACGCACAACTGCGTACCCGGCCTGTAATCGTTAATCACAACAAGATGAGACCGTATAAAGGGCCACCGCCAGTTGGTTACGAAGATGAGGTTTACGTCCTGACCGAAGACAGGAGACCGCCGGTTAGGAACCTCAATGGGAGTTCATAAGTGGTAGCACTGGGGACGGCGCTAAAAGGACGAGGGGCCTTTGTAATACTTACGTTGTTTTAATGTACATTTCAGGGAGGAGGCAAGCAGAAAATTCGAATCTCGTGATCGGATCGTCCTCTCCCGTACCTAGTGACCGCAGCTCCCCTCCTTCTTGAACATTGTATTTTCCCTCCCCATCTTGTCACCTTTAATAAATATGTCCAAAGCGAATCAACCGAGCTTGTCTAAGAACGCTAGGAATAGGGAAAC